TACCTGCATCCATCGTGCTTACGCCATTTATTTTTTGATTTTAATTCGATTTAATGGTCAAACGCTCAAAGGCACACAACAGAATATGGTAAACTAAGATTTAAGAATTATTGTGGTTCAGAAAGTTTTGTATTAGTATTAGCATTTATGGATTCATCTGCTATTTTTTTTTTCCATAGGCCGGAATGGCCAACAACCTAGTGAAGAGTTAAGTTTTTGTGTCCAAAATATGCAGTATAACCACATTAAAGGACTAGTTTTAATAACGTAAACGGATTGATCAGTGTTTAAGGTGCATTTTAGCTATCTCTTAGGAATATGATCATTTTCCGTCTGAACTTGGATTTAAGGTTAATGGGGCAGCTTTGTCTTAAAGATAGATCCAAACCTTTTGTAAAGTTGTACTTAATCTTCAAACACTCAAAATATATTCTATTATCGGAACCCTTTTTACATTTCGAGCCAAAATTTGTTAAAAAGAATCAGATGTTACTAAGTAATCATTATAGTTCATCTCATAAAATATTGTAAAAATGGAAAGCCAATGTATACATTTCAATATTTGCATTATTTCACCACGAGCTGCTTCTATTCTAGCATTTCATTTTATTTAATATAAAGAAATAAAGTATAATCTGCAGTTAGTAGTACTAACACAAATATTCAACGCTATTTATTTGAGAAAAGTGGTTAAGTCCATTTCTCTGTTTCCTTTATTTTAACATACGACATCTTCTCTAACAACAAAATGGAATTAAGTCATATCGAGCATTTGGGTAATGTTTCCACCTGGTTTTAATGTCTGTTTTAATTTCAGTTGAAAAGCGAAAATTGTCATTTGAACACAACGTTCAGCCACATCCCACATACTTTCCTTGAACTCCAACCGATTAAGCGACATTCCAGTGCACTTAGTTGCACGAATACCGAGCAGCCGTGTTAAAAACATTTTAAAGAAGTTCGCCAGTTGTCCGTCTGTCCCCGAAATGAGTCGGAAACGCAGCTGCTTTATCATTTGTGAGTTTCCGTTTACTTTAGAATTTTTGGTTTTTAGTGCCTGCAAATAGCCGACAGCATTTTTAATTTGTGCCTTGACAGTTATTTTACTACATTTCGCTTTTATTTTGTCATTTTGATTAAAGCCAGAACGAGAATATTTCAAAAGTTTTTCTTTGTCTTTTGGAACGTTAACTGCCGCTGATTAAACACGCGGCCGCCTGCCTTATGGCATACCGACACCATAAACAGAACAGCAAAACAACTTATATAATATAAAAATTTATAAATACATTCTATAAACATATTTAGATACGAAAACTTTAGAAAAAGTGTATTTAGGACTCCGTTAGAATTAAGTCACTTAAAGCCAATAAAAAACCGCACCCATTTAAGGCACCTTTTGTATGCTCCTCGCAGTGCCTTTTCAACGTACATTGTTGGCTTTTGCAAGGCTCCGGCATATTGGATGACTGCCTACAGTGGAGCAATGTTTGCTGAGGCAGTGCCTCTCTGATGGGGCTTGGTGCGTTATTTAAGCTTGGTTACACAATCGTTTTTGCTTTCTAATTTAAAATGCTCAAGTAACACGCACTTATTTACATATAAGAATGTATTTTAAAAATAAGGATACGTACGTACGCACATACATTAAGTATTTTTCGTAGTGTGTATCCTCGTAAATCGTTGAAAAAGGTAAGCTGTTGAGAAAATAATGTTATTAAATATTTAAAGAAATTTCATTGAATTGAAGCTTATGTGGATTTCGTTAATGCGTTCAATGAGCTTAGGTTTGTAAATACTCAAATAAATAAAGCGTACTACGGTCTTAGGCGGAAGTACAGTACGCAAGAAGATAATATTTTTTGTGAGATGTGTGTTCATTTTTGGTTAATTTTGACTTTATTTGTGTTTTATGTTATGTTTGTAAGCTTATATTACAAGATTTTGACTATTCAAATGTTAAATAAAACGAACAATAATGACACACATTGGGTTACTTAGCAAATAATCCTGTTTTATTCAATTTACATATGAAGAAAAAATGTGCAAAGAAATATTAGAAGTTATAGAAGGGTTCGAATGAAACCCTAGTAATGAAGAAACAACAACAGAAACTTCAATAAAATAATCACATTTTTGTTGTTATTTCTTCGTTACTGTTCGAATCCTTCTATAAATTCTAATATTTCTTTGAAAAATTTTTCCTCATACGTAAATTGAATAGAATTGAAACTTAAAATAGAATTGAAACTCAAACTTAAAAAAAAATATTAGAGGTTATGTTCTTAATTGATTCTGAAGTTCCTAAAGAAGTTGGGGTATGTAGAAATCTAAATTTATCTGGAGTTAATAATTGGAATAGCTGCCTTATAGATATCGGTTAAATTTTTGAACGCGAACGCGAATGAATTTAAAATTTCATCGGTGTGCAAATATATCTCGAGACAATCGACAAGGATATAATCGATGTGGGTCGTCCTCGGCCAACATGAGCCTTAGAGACTTCTCTTGTTTTCAAAAGTCAGACTATAATAGACTAAGTCAGGCTGTCATTACTATTACTATTACTGAAGACGATTCAAATTAATTGCGGTTAGGTGATCAGCATGGATGACAACCATATTCAGTAACTGATATATGTATGACTTTTATTTTTCGCAAAACTTGAAATTGTACGTTTAACGTTATGATGATAGTTCAAATTGTTAGCATCTATATTAGAATATGATTTCCATATAACACCATACAACATTTTTTAGGCATACTTAATAGTTAAACTGAGGGTTGCCTTAAAAATGTTTTATAGTTTTATCAATTTTATATGCAAACAACATTTAGTTATTAAAAGAGGTTGCCATCTGAGCGGGGCAATGGAAGAAAATTCGATAAAATATTTGATTGCCTCAACGTTTGAAATATATAAAGGATTGAGTAAAGCACTAGCATGACTAGTGGTAGTATAATCTGATATTGTACTAGATGGGCTCCTCTTGAACGACAAAATGGGTTTTGATAGTTTTGTGATTTTTTTTTGCTTTATTAAATGATTTTGATTATAAAATAATAGCTAATATGTAAGATTATAATACTACAATGTTGGTTTGTACATATAACATGCGATAAATAATTTTTTTCGCGGACACCAAACGATGATACCAAAATCATAATTTGTATGTTGCTTAGTTGGATTATATGTTTGAGGTTTAAATTAAATACTCTGGGACCAACCGAGTACTCCTTCTCCTTCATTTTACAAAGAGGAAGTCAAGATTATTACTGGTTTGTTGAGTAGTTGTGTTACATGTATAGGGATTGTATAGAATACGTGAATTATAGTTAGTCTAATGGAAAGTGCACCGATTGTTGTCATGGATAATTAATTAAAACAAAGACTTGTTAAACAATATATAGCATTACACAATGTATGACTCTAAAAACAACTCTGTAAAAACGTTCTTATATGGGAATAGATGTCTCAATTGAGGATTCTCATGTGACTCTATAAAAGAAAGCAAAGAAATTTAAACTTCGCTAATAATGATTGATGATCAAATAGTTGTGATATTAAGTGCCATCTAAATAAAATTAAAAATTAATAAATTCTTAAAAATAAATAAACTGATAAAAAATTTGTTGATTGTTTTAATAATCTATTTCATGAGAATTATAAATAAATATTTAAAAAAAACAAGTAGTAGTGTGTGTTTTACTAAAAAGTTTTATTGCTCTCAACTAAATTCTCTTCCGTTTTTCACAAAAATTCTGTTGGAAATATATAAATTGATACTGAAATAAATCTAACTTTTCAAAATCCATTTTTATCTATAGTGTGCTATATCATGGTTTCAATTTCAGTTTCAATATAAATTCCCCTAAATGTTAACACTAAAATGTTTGATATTCAGCAGCATTAGAATAGAAAAAATTGAAAATTTATTAAAAATATGTGTCGAAAAAGTGCTTAGCACTGCTGAAAATATCTTTCAATCAATCAAAACTGTTTGTTGGTGCAATGAAATAAATCACAGTGATTCTACTGTACAAATCCCTCACAAAAATGCATAAAAAATTTGTGGTAAAAAATCTGAGCTGAGTATAGCCAATTTTAACAATAAAAGTGAAACATAAAAGTTAAAGAACTGACGAACTCAATATACTAAAAAACTGAATTTAAAATAAGATGGACAAAAAAAAGGCAGGAAACTTTTTACCAAAGTACATTCAAAAATTTTTTGGAAGATACACGAGGATAAGTTGAGTAACAAGAAAATATCGAGAACGACTGGCAAAAACATTTATACTAAAATCAATAAATAATTTTTTGCTTGATTTTGATTTCAGTGCAGCACAAGTTTATCAAAAATAAATATTTTTTTTTTTCACAATTTATTTTGGCAAAGTTTCCTTTCGCTTATCCTTAGAGTCTGCCTTCAACAGCTACAAAAACCCGTGCCCACAAAGAGCTGGTATGATTACATCAAGAAATCAATGCATGCATAGTTCCTGCACTGCATAGTTCTGTTGTTGTTAGTGGTATTTTGAATATATTATCCTGCAATACCCTGCTGGTCGCTGTGCAATTTATCCTCCACATATGGCCAAGTTCAATTCCAGCATTGCATATGTGAGTAAATTCGTTGAATTCGTTGAATTTGTTGAATTGGTTGAATTTGTTCTGCTGCAATGACGTCGAGTTGCACATAAAAGAATTTGTTTCTGAGTTATATAAGCAATTTTCAGAATTTTAAGTGAATAAAAATATGCAATAACAGCAAATCAATGGCTTTGGCAACTGTTAACAATCAAATATCCTCGGCATTCCATTCTTCACAAGAATTGTTGAATTCAGAAGAATTTTGTTCTATTCAATGCTTAAAGAGAAACGCGTTAAAAAGAGGTTTTTAAAATATATTACTTACAGTAATGTGCCAAAATATTATTAAAATGTAGTATCTCTAATAATAGAAAATTAACCATCAATCTTTTTCTTTTCTTTACAGTCACAGAGAAGGAAATCAGACAATGGTAAGTGAAAATATAATAACATCAAGAATTTTTTTTGTATGCAATAAAAAAAAAATTGAATGTTAATATTTTTGTCGAATGTGACGCGTCTTATGAAGAATATGAATATTTATAAGTTAGAAGGGTTCGAATAGTAATAAAGAAACAACAACAAACGTTTTTTAATTAATTTAGGGAAATTTGACTGACCATACATGGTGGTAATCCAAATTGCGTTGTATGGTCAGCCGAATTTCAATAAATTAATTAAAAAATATTTGTTGTTGTTTCTTCATTACTATTCGAACCCTTCTAAATAAAAAACACAACATTGTACCAAAAAATAACGAAGAAATTTTATATCACCCAATATATATACTTTTTCATATTTGAAACTAAGCCTGTAGACATAATCTACAAAATGTCTACTAGTGCTCTTGAGAGAAACACCAGAACAGCAATTGTGTTTGTGTTCAGGTTTATTAAAACTAAAGCTGTGGCTAGGGTGTATCCAGTGGTTGGTAGTGTTATCTATTGTGTATTGAATACCCCTTTTTTGACATTATAACCAACATATAATACACTACAAAGTACCTCCAAATATATTTCTTAGTATAAGCTCCCACATTCACAATCCTTTCTGGGTCAGTAAATAACTACAAACGTGTAGATTAATATATTTGAATCAATTTGTTGTGTTGATATGGTCAAAAATACTTATCACCTATTTAATTAAATAATTAGTTGTCGTTTATAGTATCATAGTAGGCTTTGTTAGGTAGTCCGATTAGCCATAGTCAGTCGGTAGTACTGACAGTTTTTAAATCATCTGTCTTTCGGTCAAAGATGTGACTATTTAGCATTGGATACCAATCAAATACTTTTTGGGTCAGAATATTTTCATCTGTTTGCTCAATATGATGAAGCTAATTAAGCTGAAGCTATGGTTGACTCTAAGTTGAGTTATGGTTATTCTTTGATAACTGGTTTCTGCAGAGTCCCACCTATCTCACTAACTAACTTGTGTACTCCTCATAAGCTTCGTAATTATTCAATGACTGATTTAAAATCTGCGTACCGCCCCGTGCTGTTAGAGATTACTCTGAGATTAGATAACACTAAGTAGGGCAGCCTGTCGGTTTTCGCATACATTTATATATATATATCGTATATTCGATATCGTATATCGTATCTACATATGGTTTATTATAAAAAGTCTGATATCTTTTTAAAATCTGCAAGTCTTTAATAAAGTTAATAGTAATAAAAGTTCAATTTCAATTCGACGATAAGCTTTTTTATTTAAACTTATTCGAAAAAGGATAGCAGTTTTAGTTTGTCATCATCAATTACATATTCCAAAAAATGTTGACATTTAAGCAAAAAAATATATATATATCTTCGACTAGAGCGTAAAGCAACAAAATCACTTACAACGAGCCCAAACGTTAGCGTCACCGTCAGCCTATCTGCCATAAGATGATATGCCCCTGGTATCTCTCTAATTTAGTCATTCTTTAACGCCGTAAGAGATACTCTAGAAATGCACCAGAGAGACTAAGTTTAAAGCATACTCCTATATGATGACATTTCAAACTGATGTTTAGCCACAGTCAGGTTTGTTACACATCCAAGATTTCTTTTTCATAATATATTCGCCTCCTTTAACTAAGATTTCAAATGATTGTTAGGAGGTTGAAAATAACATAATCTAGAACTTACTATATTTTAACTGTTATCTTGTAGCTTTTGATATCACAAATGGTATGATTCCATATTTGATTCAACATGCGCTTGCCAGGTTTGTAGTTATGTACTTTAGTAGTTCTGTGGAGTTTTAAAAAGTTTACTGTTTATCAATAAATAAAGAATTAAAAGAACTTAGTTTACTTCTTTCGGATAAGGAGGGAATAAAATAATAGCCAGTAATTATATATAGTATTTGTCTGTAAAGAATAGAACTTATGACTCTCTATTATATTTTTGAAGACTGGAGACTTACCAATGTTTATATCCATGTAATCATGAGTGTTTGGAAACCCATGAGTCAACTATTGACATAGTTCGCCATATTTCAGAACTATAATTGATTTTAAAGTAATTGAAAGATTTTCCACCAAGCTACTCTTGAAATACTTTACTTACTGTTTTGTTAGTATGTCTATTTTGATTTATACATTATAATTTTGATGAAAAGGCCAAAAGTTTACCAAAGTTTCTTGAACGAAAGTTATTCAATACATAAAATAAAATATATTTTTTCTGAGCTGGTAAGAAATTTTACAAAACTCAAAGCCAACTTTTTTATTAGAAAACATATTTTTTTTAAATTTGTAAATAATATAAATTTTAATATTTTTTAAAAAGCATTGGTATAAAAATATGTTATACTTGCTAGAGAAATGAAACGAAGAATATAGAGAAGGAGGCAATCTCCAAAACAATGTAGTCGTTTCTTCACTAGTCCCAGACAATTACATAGAAAGTAATAAATATAATCTATCTTCTTTTCAACTCCTTCAGCGCCCACTTGTCGAAATACGCCATCTTCAATACAACGCTGCAATGGTGTCAGTACTCCAGATAGTTAACCTATTTCCGGCTTACTAAAGCAATAAGGCCGTAGGATCCTATCCACCACGTAATTTTTGCGATTAATCCGCAAGTTATTTGCTACTCATTTTGCGATTGTACATTTTTTTATTTTCTGCATGATAAATAGTTAACACATTATGGTATGCACGATGAGTCGGACTTACTTATGTATATTTAAGAATCTCGCATGCTATAGCGTTTCCTCTGCCCAGATTTCGATCAATTTTATAATTTTTTGATTGTCTAAAAAGTTACGACAAAGTTCGATACAGGTTTGAAAGTGGAATTGCACTTACTTGTACTAGCATGTTTGCTTTTTCGGTCGCGTTTTCTTAGCCACAAACACGCTGCAAGTATTAGATAGTCAAAATGCCTAGTAATCTACTAATCTATCGAGTAGAAGCTGAATCCTTCTAATCTCCATTTCCGAGCCATACATGTGAGGGTGACCCCCGAGTTTTCTATCAGATTCCAGAGTTTTCTCGATTCCTACTTATCTCTGGTGAAGCATAATATAGGAATGTAAGTAAAATCCATTATTGATATCATAAAGTTTGCAGGAGGTCGCAAATCAATTTTGGCTAAGACACAACTCTTGTTTGATTTTCATCGAAATTGAATCGTGTGCGTAGTTGGCGCTTCTAAGTAAACTCCTCACGTAATTTAAGAGTACTTTATGTTTAGTTAATTTTATAGACCAAGTTCGGTTACAATCCCTATCGTTTCTCGACTCGTCATATTTAATTGGGTGCTAGTCCCTTTCTTCTCTGGTTCAGTTTGGAATCCGGAGCTGTGTCATTTTCCCGTGTGATGAGAATGAGCTCTGTCTTAGTGAAGTCTAAACTTAAGTCTTTGGTTTTAGTTCAGCTAGGAATTTCGTCAAGAGCACTTTCGATGACCTCATTCATCGTTGTCGTATAAAATATTTGGTTTAGGTTGAAATAGCTTAGTAGTCAACTGTGGAACCATTGTTCTAACCTAGGTCTCACTAAAAAGAAAAAATGTTTATGTACGTATTTATGTAGGTAATTAAAATTTTTTTTCTTAATTTCACTTTTTGTCTTTTAGTTTAAATTTAACTCTTAAAACTTTTGCAGTATGGCATATGAAAGCCACGCTCAGAAAAATTGAAATATTTAAAAGTTTGATTATTTATCTGAAAAATTCAATGATTCGCGTATATTTAAACCAACTTTTTCGAATTAATTAATTACTCTTAAAAAAACCAACGAAGTAAATAATTTTAAAAATAACTGAACCAAAAAGAAAATCGTATTAACTGTTAAAAGTAATTGGTATTGATTCTTATTAATTATTTATTTATTTATTGTGTACGATTATAATGTACGAATATAATATAATATATATAGGAATACACATTGTACTTTCTATAGCTTGCTAAATGTAATATAGTGAGTACAAAGCCATTATATCATATATATATAACATTTTGTGTGCTTTACGTAGTCGTGACTGAACAAAGAGTAATTAAATATAAAAAATAATTGATCCATGTTATTTAAAAAAGCGAATAATTGCATGAATGCATACAAGGAGTAGCAATTAAAAAAAATACTGAATCCTTTGTGAACATTTCAATCAAAAAAGAAATATACGATATTGCTTACAATACTAAATGTAAAATAATTTCTCTATAAATATTGTATATGAATATATTTCAACAATAGCGAAAAGTTTCGTTCCGCTTTCATAGAGAACTATATCCCTCTTGCAACCTACCTGCCACAATTTATATTTCAATTAAACTCAATAAAATCTCAACTGCATTCAAGTGAGGCAATTTAATAAATTTCCAGCAGGTGAACTTCCCAATGCATTAAATTAGCTGCCCCTCCAGCCCCTTCGGCTTTCGAATACGAATATATTGGACGGGAAGTACTTACGTTTCGTAGATTTTACTGATATGCTAATAAGCCCCTCTCAAAAGGACATTAAATGTGATTTAATTATAAAGTCCTTACGCATAAACTGTAAGCATTTTACTTGTATTATTCCGGATTAAACATAAATAACAAAACATTCAAATGTAATTATCCTTTAAGACCGTTACTTATTCTCGTTTCGGTACTTAAATTTACTGCGGAGTTAAGGTTACGATTTTTGCATAATTAAATCTAAATAAATTTTCGACTTCTGGTTATGTCTTGCTTCATTTCTTCGTCGGGAAAAATATGCTATTATGGGGTCTAGAAACTTCAAGCTTTTCGGAAAAAAATTTTTATTTTATTGCTTTAAAGTTTTGGGGTTTTTAAAATTGATGCATATTTTTAATTTTATTAAAGCTAAAAAATTTTAAAATAGATTATTTACAAAAAAATTGCAAATTCTATTTAGCACTTTATTGTTAAAAACAATTTGGAATAATATAAAATTGATTTTAATAAAAAAAAAATTGAGTAGTTATATAAAATTATCATACATTATCTTTATAAAGCAGATTAGAAGAAATAATGCCATCACTACAAGTTTCCAATTATTTGAAGTATTGATGCGAGTAGATGTTTTACTTAAACAAGTAACCCCAATCCAGAGGAAGTAAATATTTTTTAAATGAAGATTTGAAATTATAGTTTCTTACGTTAAGAAGTTCCTTAAACGATATGGAATGTTAGCTCCCGATACATTATTTACATTTCATATTTATCAATGATGAAAATCTGAAAAAAAATTGAATGTTTTGTTTAATAATAAAAGAATAGAACTTCAAGGGGTTGATGAAGAAGATAGGTTGGTCAATGCATATGGGGAATAGTTTTGTATATAAAATGAGTGGCAAATTCCTATAGAGTTTCTCAGACTGGAACTGAGATGGCACTAATAAATAATATTAAAGAGAGACTACTTTTCTACTTACACTCAGAAAAATATGCTCTTACCACATACTGGTTAAATTGATCTGATCATTTTGTTAAAGAATTTTTAGCTTATGCGATAAAAAAAATGTGTAAATCAACATGTGGTATGGTTTCACCAACACCATGCGTCGAGTAAGAATATTTTGACCTGAGATTATTTTTCTGATTGCATTAATAATTCATTAAAATTTTTAAGAATACTATCTTAGATCAGAAAGGAAGCTAATAGTGAAGGAATATCAATGTCTACAAATTTAATTAAATTAGTCTTTTGGTCAGCTATTTAGTTTTTTTGGACATTGCAAAATACGCATTAATAGACGTCTTTGGGAAATAACTATTGGTTTATTCTAAACATTGATTGGCACAAATCAGTAATTGGATTTTCTCTAGTGAGCACTTTTTGAAAAAATTTAATATGCCTCTTAGGTTTTGAACACAACGCTTAAATAATATATATGTTAAATGGTAATAAATGGTAATACCAAATACTGTAGTCTGCTCATGGTATTTTATACATAATAATCAAGCTTATTCATTCATTGGTTGCTCATTTTCGACAACAATATTTCTTTTCATATAATTTAAATTTCTTTATTCAAGTACTTTAAAGTTATTTTCAACTTTCTTGAAGCCTAAAATATTTTATGGGAATTAGAGATTCAATATTTAAACTTTAACTTAATTGTAGAGTTAAGCAAACAATTTTTGTTTAGCATCCAACTGATTACTTTTCATAACTTTTCCGTTTGTTTGTTTTTTCTTTTACAACCAACAGGCACAAAGGTTTTCTGAAAGACTGCCCGAATGGTTTACTAACAGAACAAGTAAGTATACAAAAAAACAAATATATATATATATAAAATAAAAAAAAAAATAAAATTATGCAAAAAAACATAAAATAAGCCAATAAGCAAAAGCTAAGCAAAAATGTTTATATAAGTTTTACTAGAAAACTGATTTGCATAAGACGGGAAAACTCCCGCCGCAATGTAATTGCGCATTTTAAGTAGAAAATTTCTTTCGGTGCTTTTATCTGCTGTTGTTCTTTACTACTTTATTGCTATGGATAAATATTTTCCTTAACTCCAAACATGGTCGTATAAGGAAAATCAACAGAACATTTGCAGAGTAGGACAAGCATGCATACGAGGCCGTATTATTATTATTGCTTTCATAAGTTTATGTTATTTCGAATATAAAAAGTCCCCTCATCGTCTCCTCGTCTAAGCAAACGAAAATCGTGCCGGAACGAATTCGAGTATCGTTAGCAAGCCCACGCATTCGAGACGAGTGCGCCGAAAAGTATGCCTCGAGGAAATTCTTAATGATATGTTGTTCAACGCCTTACACATTTTTGCTGCTTCGACAGCCAACGCCAATGCCGTTAACAACATTCACAATAAAATTGTGGCGCCATATTTTACACATATTTTTGTTTTGCTCCTCGACAAGATGTTTTAACGCTTGTTCCGTTGTACTTTTCCACATTTCTCCTATTTTTCTTATTTATTTTTCTTGTTTCGAGTTTTATTTATTTTTATTTTTATTTTTATTCATTATAATAAAAAACATATTTTGCATGTACGAGTAGGTTTTAAACTTCAATAACTTTTTGCAGGGTTTTATTAAGATCTACAAACAATTCTTCCCTCAAGGAGATCCTAGCAAATTCGCGTCGCTTGTATTTCGGGTTTTCGATGAGAACAACGTAAGTAGTCGAAATTAAAAAAAATATTTCATATTTTTACTTCAATGTGACTGTTCTAATTTTAAGTATTTAATGTATTAATTAAACCAACATTCATATATATATATTATTTTTATATGTGTGTTCTGCATAAACAATTATGATAAATTTCACTTTATTTGTCTTTTTCTCATCAAATTGAAAATTTCATTTTTTCTAAAAATAATTTTTTGATATTTTCTATTTAAACCTAATAGGATGGTGCCATTGAATTTGAGGAGTTCATTAGAGCGTTATCAATCACATCGCGCGGAAATTTAGATGAAAAATTACACTGTAAGTAGCATTTAAAATGTTATTTATTTTAGAGTTATGAGTTATGAATGCGAAATGGTTATTGAGCTGTTTTACATATTGACTTATGTGATATTATAGCTTTGACATTTATAAAAAAAATATTAAATTTGTACAGAAATGTCATATGATGCGAAAGATAAATTTTCGAATAGATAAGAATTTCTGTGGTCCAGATATTTATAATACGTCAAAGTGAAAAAGTAGTTTGAAGTGGTTACCATATATTTAAATTGTCATTATCATTTATTAGTGGTGTGGAACATGCTGCATATATATAACGTGCTTTCCATTATGTAGCTGCCCCAATGTTTTGAACAAATTTTTGTGCATATTTCATCGTGATGTTTCCCCGTTAACGGTTACTAAGTACTCAGCTGCAGTTGCCTTGCTTAGAAAATGATTAAGCTACACACTTCTTCATGGTTTATCTATTGCATGAAGAAATTGTTTCTATTGTGTTTAACAATACTTAAATATATCTTCTTTTCACTAATGTTGACCTATTATAAGTTAATACAGTATGCAATTTACTGGCTAATTTATTATCTTTGAATAATTATGTAAAATCAAGTCTACACATTTTTATAAAATAACTCCCATGTGAGCCACTTTTACAAACCTTAATATATGCTTTATCGAAATCTTTATTATAAATAAATAAATAATAACTGTGGTAACAGTTCTCTTAGGATATATAAAGCATTCAATGTCATCAGTGCTTGTATCAGAGCTTTTTTGTTGTTTGTTTTTGTTGTTGCTATGCAAAATCTACTCACCTATTTCTTTCGATTTAATTTTAATAAATAAAAACTTTATTTTTGATTACTTAAAGAATAGGAATACTAAAATTTTAAATTTTGAATTATTATAACTGATATCAGAGTTACTATTCTAAGCAGAAAAATTTTAAACACTGCTTTTAGGGGCATTTAGACCGTATGGTATAGTCAATGATGGTTTATTTTCAATTACCTAAAGAATAGGAATACTATTATATTACATTACTATTACTATTAAATATATATATGAAATTTTTATGTTCTTTTTTTTAATTTATATTTATTATAATATATAACTATGATTGATATCAAAGCTATTATACTAATGTGTTAATTTTTAAATACTGCTTTTAGGGGCATTCAGACTATATGATGTGGACAATGATGGATATATAACGAGGGAAGAGATGTATAATATAGTGGATGCAATATACCAGATGGTGGTAAGAAGATATATTGGTTTGATATATAAACAAAATAAGTAAACATATAAGAAAAGCATTTAAATTGCTTATTATTTGCTTCTACATACCATTCTACATATCATTTACTTTCACATAAATTGCTGTTAATTCATTTACTTCTCTATACGTTATCTTATTATATCCATTTACATATTTCTAAATTTTACATATTACATATATATTTACATACTTTATATTCTTTTATTTTTTATTTCGACTGAAGGGTCAGCAGCCACAAACCGAAGATGAAAATACACCACAAAAGCGAGTGGATAAAATATTCGATCAGATGGATAAGAATCATGATGATCGTTTAACACTAGAAGAATTTCGTGAGGGTAGTAAAGCTGATCCTCGTATAGTTCAGGCGTTAAGTTTAGGTGGTGATTAACCAAAAGAGTCTTAGTTTAATCCTGACAAAGATTAAACGAGCCAATAAAAAAAAATAATACATAACACTAACGAAGTACACAAAATCAAAAAATCAAAATAAAACAAGAGAAACAAAACAAACAACAGAATAGAACATAAAAGGGATATCATAGAAACTAAAGAACATTAACAGGTATAAGAAGAAACATGAAACATATGCCATATGCTATATACTATATATAATGTAAGGAAATAGTTTACAGAATTATATTCACAGAATCATCACAGAGTACACTGTAAAAAATTGAATAGAACATTTCACATACATAACAAAAAAACATTTAAACAAAAACAAATACACATAAAATCGTTTATAGTTTATTAAGAAAAGGAAAATTAAAACTTCAGTACTTGATTACCACCAAAGTCGAATAAAAAGGTGCGTTTTACAAAAGCAACATTTTTGAAAATTTTAGATTAGTTTTATTAAACAATATATTAATAATTAATATATAATACACATTTAATTGCAAGATATACAAAATTTGCATATGAAGCTTAAATTTAATTGAAAGCTTAAATTTACTGGCATAAGGACGAAAATTTTAATGTCAACAAACAATTTGCGGCCAAATGCGAGTTCAACAAATAGCAAAAACTAAATTTAATTACAAAAGAGAATATTATGAAAATTTAACACCAATTTAAAATAATTGAAATTGCTTTTATATATTTAACATATATTAAACTAAAAAAATTATAAGGATATTATATTATAGTAGTTGAAAGCGTGTTCGATTGTTATTACATTAAAAAGTTATAAAAATGGAATTTTATTTTGGCAGTTGCTTGCAGTTTAAAAATAAATCACAGAAACAAAAACAAAAACAATTAAATTGAACATTGGATATAGTTAACAATATAATAAAATATATTTAAAATTGAGTAAAAAAAATTTGACTATAATCATTTCATTACAATTCTATTAAAATATTTTCATTTGCAGCGCTTTGCTTTAAAAGGTAACAAATTTACTTAATACATACATTTATTATATAAATTTTTAAATCAAATTGATTTTATTTATCAAGTACATATTTTAAAATTAAAATTTTTCGCTTGATTTTAATACAACTCATTTTAACAAAGCAATATAAATTATTTAAATATTTAAATTAATTTTATTATTTATATTTGGTTTCGCATATTTTTCGAAATCTAATATTAATATTAATAATTAACATTAAATTAACATTGATATTAACAGTAGTGTTAACGCTATGTTATGTGTTTATGTTATTAACAGAACTAATCGATAAAATGCTATGCAGCTTTAAGACGATTTTGAGCTGCGGCGAAGATTCATTAACAAAACAATTTGTATAATAGAAATGTTATATATTTGATATATATTGAATCGTTTAACTCCTAACTCCTGTTAACTCCTGTTTTTAATATAGATTTGTTAGAATATGTCTGACAAAGATATAAGTTCATAGTTTTTTTATGTATCTGACTTCACTTTCAAGAATCTGCTTCTTCAATGCAGAGCATTGAGTATTATTGTGAATATTGAAGTGTTAGATTATTGTATAATAATCTTAATTTTTAATTTATAATCTATTTATTTTCTAATAATCTCAGACAATATTTTAGATGGATTTCTATATGTAGCAGAATTCATTTCAAAAATCTACGTCTTCTTTAGAGTGTATTGAGTAGTCTTCTAAAAAGTGATACGTTACAGTACTCCTAATAAAGATGCAGCTGACTTTTAAAAATCTGCTTCTTCTTGAAGGTGCATTGGGTTATGCTGTATTGAAGTGTTAGAATATTCGTAATAAGTACCTTAATTTATTATATTCAGTAGTTTGTTTATAGCTGCGTTCATCCTCAAAAATCGGTTTCTTACTTGGCGTACACTGGGTTTTATGTTAAATATAGTTACATTAGATTTTTCTAATAATGGTCCCAGATTATTGCTTAAGTTGGATTTTCTTATTCAGCGGAAATTACTCTCAAAAATCTGTGTTTTCTCGGGAAAGTTTCTGGTAGTGTTCTAAAATCATATGTCTTAGAACATTTTTATTAATGATCTAAGTATGTAACTCTTTGTAGCCGACTTCATTTCCAAAAATCTGTTTCCTTCCTGGGATGCATTGGATAATGTTGTAAAGACTGATGTACTACAATGTTTATAATAAAGATCTAAGAATATTGCTTCATTATGTTGAAGCTGTTTGAGCCAGTGCACTTAAGCACTTTTACTTTTTCTTAACTCGAGGTATTGTCAAAACCCCTCTTTACGCATTGACTAGATTATTGTTTATCACTTCATCAGACTAAGCAATAATTGATCTCAGATCTGCATACCTCCCCGAGGAGCCTGTAACCATTCTGAGAATTTATAACGCGGTGTTGCTTCAGATAGTTCGCATTATGAAGATGACTTCAAAAATGGTCAACATTATAATCTGAGTGTAAGTACAAGTCTTTTTTAATTAAAAAATATTGATCATTTGCTGACAAAGTTGCAATAGTGACACTTCTTAAAAATTAATTTTATTTTTAAAAAGTTTTTTTAATTTTAATATTTAAGTATCTAATTAAATTAAATAAAATTTATTTGCTTTGTTGAAATGAGTTATTGTACAATTTTCTTAGCATGTATATAAATTACTCAAATTTTATTGTACTATACTCAATACTTTTTGCATGTTTTAATAAAACGTTTAACAATTTTTTCTTCTTTATAATATATTTAAAATATTTTTAGTAAATAAAATTTTAGACACTTTTCAAACGACTACATATTCTCTTCTACTACACTTTTTACTTCACAGCTTAATAAAGTTATATTTGATACAATATCTATTAGGGTTATTATATGTTTTATAATCTATATATATGTAAAGCAATTCATTTACATATATATCGTATTATATACTTGGATATTGTAGAAAATATATCGGCATATTAAGTACTTGAAAGAACAACACGTACTATACAATTATATATCACCATTCTAAAATAATTTCTCTTTTATATGTGGTTCAGCTTTATTCTTTTAATCTTTGTAATAAAGTAAAAAAAAACAATATTTAATATTAATTATAAATATAAAGCATAAAATTATATAAATCCAAATATTAAAAATAGTAAAAATAAAAAATAAAAGTATTTAGCTCTAAATCGAAATACACTATTGTATAATTAAATCTAATTAAAATTGCTATGCAAATATCCTTTTTCTCTATATACTATGTTTCCTCCTAATTCCTCCCTTGAAACTTATTTGTATATTTAAATTACTTCTCAAACAATACTTAAAATATGAGAACTAAGCTATTGCTTTGCTTTGTACCGTAAAAGTTGTTGCTCTTAATTTTTCATGAAAAACTTTTTAATTTTTTCTTGAATTCTTTTTATTTCTGAATAATTCTTACAGCCAAAACAATTGCAATGCTTTATGTTTTAGTGGATTTTAGTAAAAAAGGATTTGTATATTTCTTTATCTGCATAATCCCTGTATTTAATTTGGCTTAATAATAGTACTTTTTTGTTAGCACATTTGGCTTTAATATTTTTGCTATTAAAAATTAAATTCAAATTAAATTTTTTTTTTATAGAAATTTTAACGCAAATTATTTTTTCTTTCTTCATATAATCATATAAAACATTGAAGATACTTAGGATTTATTTATTTCGAATATGTGTAATTGGTTATTAAAAATTTGTCAAATATTTTAATTCGATTTGTTTTCTTTTTTTTTATTTAAAACTAATTAAAGTAAAAAGTTTTGAAAGCAAAAAGTTCAGTTGTAATATTTCAATATTTATATTTGTAAATATTTATTATTTTTTTATTCTTTATTATTTTAATCAGATGTATTTATGGTTAAAAATTCATAATGGACTTCAAATCAGCATATTAAAAAAAATTAAAATTTGACGTGGAGTATATAAATGACTTATTTTTTCATGTATTTAACATATGTTAAGCATTACTTAAATATTTAATTTAATAAAATCAAATTTTTAAAATATTTTTGTAATTATTAAAATATTTTTTATTTTCTTAATTTTAATTTTATTTTAATTTGAAAAATTCTTAAAAAAATACAAATTTTATTGCAAAAAAATATTTGTTCCTTCATCGAAAAAAAAAACATTTTTACAGTTTTAAAAATATCATAAATTGTTTTTATTATTTAATTATTTTTGATGTTCTTATGTATTTATTTATTTTTTTTTGTCACACATGTTCTATTAGTGCAGTTTTTTTAAAATAATCTAAATGATTAAATTATATTATCATATACTTTGCTGAAATTGCAACTGAACTTTTTTGGATACATTAGAATAATAAAAAATTAACTTAAAAATAATTTTAATTTTAATTTTATTTAGATAAAATTTTTGCCTAAGCTCAGATTAATGAAAAAAACTGCTTAAAAAAAAATCAATAGATATTTTTAACGCACTGCACTTTTACTAATAAAAATACGACTTACGAAAATTTAAACTATTTTTTACTAATAATCACCAATTTAATATAAATATTAGTTTAAATCTATATAATTATAAGTGCAATATTTAATTGAGATAAACTCTCATTTAAATTTATGAATCTATAAACTTGACTATCAACTGTGAAAAATTTCTTCAGAAGCATAATTTCACAGAACACACTTAGCAGATTGGGTTTAAGACTAGTGGGGAAGTATGTTATATTGAGAATAAGGGAGACAAGAGAGAGCAACGTTAATAAAGTTGAAAATAAAACAATAATTCTCAGAGACAGTAGATAGATTAAAAGTAAACTACAAAATCAGTCTATAAAAATAATTAAATCAATGAGAGGTCCTAGTCATGAAAAAAGTTGAATTAGTGGAATCCGAAAAAAAACTGTCACTCAAATTTGTTCAATAAACCAGTTAAGAAAACCTTTCTCTATGAAGTTAGATTTGTTTTATTTTATATTCGATATAATATAATCAATCAAACATTATAATGAATATAATAATTTTATAATAATAATATAATATATATATATTATTTTTATTATACTATTTATTA